AAATGATTTCTCGCTATCCTCTAGCGGTGGTTGCGCTAACGCGGCCAGATTATTTACGTGCGATTTTTCAATCGAACTGAGATCATCGCAGTGCCAATCATTTGCATCGGTTCATTGTCACTTGAGTGTTGACTGTTTCGAGGATACTCATTCCCCAGTCCACTCGACTTACGCGGGTTGTGAGCCTTGGCGCGAGCTGCGTTTCAATTCAGACGACTGAATCTAGGTCTAGGGTGCTGCGATCACCCACGTTATGGTCATGTACAGTCGTACTAACCACCGAACCACACACGAGGCATTACACTCGCTCGTAGTAAACCCACATGTTAGTGGGCGCTAATGTCGTACATGAGATGGTCATCTGGTGAAAAAGTGACAGGCAAATCGTATGTTCTTCGATGCCACATGACTCGTGGCTCGTACCTTGAAATCTATTGCAGTCCAACGATAACATAAAATTTGACATCAAAGTCCAGAATAGTGAAGTCATTAATAAATTAAACTACCTTCAGTGTACAGGATATTCTTACAACACGTTTCATCACTGCTATAGATGCGCCTGTCGCGAGGTGGACCGTCATCCTATCTGGAAGGATTTTGCGCTTGATATGTTCGATCTCGCTGTTGTCTAGCGATTCGCGTTGTACAAAAAAAGCCCCAAATTCGACTAGGGCTAGTAGAACCATTCCTTTGCCACTTTAGTTCCAAAGTAACGAGGTTTCTATCATTACATGATGCCGTAACGCACATTGATTGCGTGTTAGGAGAAATTCTCGTCAATAGGCCTGCAAACTCACCTGACGTTACTGAATTAGTTAGGTGCCTCTCAAATAAGGACTTTTCCCGTTTCTTGGTTGTCTGTTACGGTGTTGCGTATTCGTAACAATTCCTGAACCACGCCTTGGACACTTCTTAAACGCATAGATACATGTTTTTATCTGCGGTTGTTATTACCGCGGTCGGGGCACTGCAATCTATCCATAATGTACTGTCTTCTGACATCTATATATGTTTGCAATTCCTTGTGGTTTTTAACAAGAGAAACTCGCTCCCCGTTTGATAGAGGTCCGTTGGTTCTGGGCCTCCATTTTACTGTCGTCTCGATGGAAGTGAGATATTCTAAATTTCTTTTAAGCATTTTTTACGCTGAAGTCCTCCTGTTCCGCAACCCAGATGGCCTTACCAGGGTGTTGAATTTCAACCGGAACAGGAAGGTTCTAATGGCAGTCATGCCCTGCCCGAACAACGTAATTGATGTGTGTTGGAGCAGTGGTCCTCCTGTTATGCAACTGGTAAGGTGACGTATGTACTGACTGTACGAGTGTACGTCTTGTGTACCCTACCTGATTAGGATTATAAAGCGATCCCTCAACTCAGCTCGCGGTGGTTCGAATGCTTGCCTGAGCAGGGACTTGAAGAATTCCAACGACCCAAAGACATTCTGGTAGTGTAACTTAAGGCCCAAGCCCTGTGTCTTTGCACGTCCTGCCAAGTTCTAGTGAGCAAAAGCGATCTGCATTTGATCTTTGCAGATGTAACGAGCTTTTATCGCATCATCTACTTACACGTAACATCTCGATAGAGAGTCTTCATCGGCTCCCTTATACTTTACGATGTCACTCTTTACATGTTCGGGTGGACGTGTGTATGTCGACCCGGTAGCAGTGGCCTGCTGCTGTCTCAACAATTCTAAATGTTGACCACTTTGTTTTCTCAACAGCGCTAATTTGTTAAATCCTTGTTATCGAAGCAAGTTTACCTTTTTTCGCTCGATGTCAGGTTTATTCTGAATGAACTGGGTGATGGTGGCGTGCTGTTCATCTAGCCTCAGGGCGGACAGCATTGCACCAACGGCTTCTTGCGTTTTCGTCGAGCTCAAACGTTCAACGGCGTCTCAATTTATTTAACACAAATGAAAGTATCTTTCATGCGTGGGATGAAATCATCTTCCTCATCGTCCAACACGTTCATGGTCGTTAAAGGACCACAAAGTGCTATCAACTGTAACCGGGCACACTATTTTAGCTATCTGAATAAAAAATTTACTACTAAAAGTGCAAGGGTGTGTGCGTCCGACTTCCTCACGTAAACGTGCGTATAAAGGAAGATTGCTAGACGGAGTAAGAGCACTCAGTAAAGATAAAAAGTAGAATTGAATGCAGTATGTGTAATCTTTTTACCAAATTCCTATTTGACTTTTTTATAACTAAGTCTACATACAAACTTGTAATTTAACTATTTACCCACCACTCATTGCGTGCTTCTTTCGTGGCTAGACTTTATTGGATAATTTTTTTAACCTTTACATACCAATGAGAATTGTGATACATCTGCGGAGCAATAATTATCTATTAGGGTATTGTGAGAATATTGTGTTTTTTCAAACACAGTGTTCACACTTGATAACTACCTTATGCAATTTATAAAGTAACGGAGACGCCCCGTTACAGGTTGTATTTCTTGGCGGCACAAAGGGCACTTCATTTTTATCCGGCTCTCGCCCACATTGCACTTGCAACAAAATTTGTGACCACATGAGGAAGCAGCAGGGGAAATGTGTTCACTTTGAAAAAGAGCACATTTACGGCGAGGTTGTCGAGAGTAACCGGTATCCACATGTTCCACTTGGCGCTGACACAATCTTGATGTCCCTTCTGCTCGCGGAAGTGATATATAAAACTCTTGCGGTCCGAACATTTGTACTTGTAGGAACAGCTGTAAATGATTCAGTCTGATGCTGCTGCTGCCTCTGCATCCTTTTTTTATAGTGCTTGTGCAGCCGCTTGGGCTCAATAATCGCCGTAATTAACAGCCGCAGCGACATTATGTCTTCAAAGCAGGAATGATGTATACCAGACACCAAGTCTTTGTGCACAACACGAACTTGATGTTGGCAAGTCGCTTCGACATGTGTAAGTACTGTGCGAAAACGTATAATGCCGCGGGATGTAAGTCAGCTTCCCACTGCTGCAGATACTCCAAACTAAATATGCAAATGATGCCGGTGATACTTCTATTTCTTCTCGCACACGCATCGCTTTCAGTTTTGACACGAACAGTCAAGTCGACGAAGCAATATTTGCAGTTTAAGCACAGCCAATTATATATTTAAACAGAGGTCCTCGCACTCCGCCTTTGTTTACTGTGTCTACTAGTTCATCTTCATTTCGGAACCGACTTTGCTGCTGCATGCGCTCCCGCGACGTTAGCGCGAGCTTTCTCAAGTTGGTCCAGCCGCTCTGCGTCCGCACGTCTAGGTCCGATGGTAGCACTGTACACACGTGCACAAGTGTATCGCGTTGAGTCCATACAAGCTCAATGATTTCAAACCAGACTTTGTCACGCGGACAATGCCACAAAATTCTTCGCCTAGCGCCTGACGTGGCCACTGCATGCTGATGGATAGGGCTCCATAGAGCAATGTGGATAATGCAGACAACTCCGGCAACAATTTCGACAACACGTGCGCCCCGCAGAAGCGCTGCACCACCTCGCAAAGCGATTACTTCAGCTCATCAATTTAGACTGCGTCCATGTTGTCAGCTCGTAGGAGCCCCGTGCACGATTTGGTAGGGGGACACATACTTGCAGCCTTGAAAGATGTTGTAGAATAAATGTTAATGACGAAAATTTGCACTATAACAGGTTGAGAGTGTTTGGAGTGCACTACGTAGTTTACGACGTCCTCGCACATTCTAGTTATGTGTGGCATTCAGGCAAACAGGTTAACCTGATTGCAAGAGTGACGCGCTTACACAGCCAGAGTCGGGAGCAGAACAGCGTGCAGAAGCGCGACATTGTGTGCAATCGTTTGTTTGGACACTAATTCTTCGTCTTGCCGCTGCTTGAAGACAACACAGGCAGCAGGTGGATAATATGTCTGTTTGGATGTACCAGCTGACCATACCTCATTCTCGAACCCTGCTTAGTATAGGATGTCACCGACAAAAGCATACCATCCACGGTTGATAACTAGGACTTAAGGAAGGAAGATTTCTTCGCTCAATCGTTATCTGGTGCTTGCTAAGGTCAGTAGAGCACTCGACAAGCGAAACAGCTGGTACATGCGCTCGTCACCAAGGATAAATTCTATCAGCTCCATTTATTTTTTCACAAGACTTGCAACCTTGATCTTGGTACGCTGGAAACACAAACAATTGTATCGGAGGCTTATTTGGAGACGGAAAAGGTGAGCTGCGAAGCTTTACAGGCGGTCCAAGTTCAGCTCTTCCGCATCATCCTGAACTACAGCATGCATAATAGCATACTGGACTTCTTTGTACTTCTGAAGGCTCTCCACGGCTTTGATCTGTCATCATAAGACGCAGTTATAACTCAGACGCTTACGATGCTAATTCAATAAGGGCAGGAGTTCGATTGCCACTTACGTATTTCCAGCCCAACACGAATTCACATTGACCGCACAGAACGTCAGCAATAGAATAGAATGTTCCAGTCCTCAGGTAGCACTTGCGACTAAAGCCGACGCCTTTGCAACATAACCGGGTTCATTACTGACTCCAAAAGACACGAGCCGTCATCCTTATCGATAACTATTGAGGCGTACATTTTATTCATCAGGAAGGCCTTGCCAGTGCGTCCAAAGAACGTCTTCGCAATAATGGCATCGTATATACTTCCATACTGCCGCATTCAGCACAGCGAAAGGCGTGCATATCTTCTACGTCACATCGCTCGAGCGGGAACACGAACGCTTTTCTGACGCCGCCGCTGAAGTCACCACAGATTCTGTCCCACGTTTCTTCAAGTTGACACCTTATTTCGCCCTTGCCAGCGGCATTGTCGACGTTTTTATTGAAATAATCGTCCTGTGACGTATGACGCCAAGAAGTGCGATTATCCAGAGGCTTGATGTGTTGGCATCCGCTGCGAAATCCCACAAGAGGCGGCATTGGAATGAAAAGGCGTTTTTTCTCACGGTTTAGCTACAACACTGACTCGAGCATAATGATACGCAGTGAATGTTGCGCAACAATCTTTTATTGATCTGCACGTGCAAGTCGCAGCTCAAATACAACACTATAGTCGTCCTCGTGGACGTGCAAAGGCCGACCCAATGCACCCACTAACGTGCCTACAACCTCGCGAGACGCCAAACGCACCGAGGTGTGCTTATGGACCGTGAATCCTTGCTGCTTTGCTGCAGCCACAAAGTGCGAAGCTGGACACTTCTTCGGGTCGCACGTTCCTGCACAAGCAGCTCGACACAGATCCATCGAGAGGAGCGCCATAGACTTGGCTTTGGGTCGGAGAACGCAGCGGATTGTTTCAAGTAGTGGCACGTGGAGATCTCGGCCCAGCTGCGTGATCTCACTTCCCAACATGGTGTCGAACGCGTGTACAAACGGCGTCATTGACTCGGTCAGACCCCACTCGAGCTCTCCGCTCGACACAGTTGGTGGTCGCGCACCCCGAGCTTTGTCTCCAGCCCAAAGGTGTCGGTTCTTGGCAATGTTTGTCTCCAGCAGGTCGGGATACTCGTCGGTTAAAACGACTTTGTTGGCGCCCAGTGACGCAGCCACGAGGCCGCAGAGGCCGCAGCCTGCACCCAGTTCGATCACATCGCGTCCTATTACTACATCGTGATCGTGTGTGTCAATAAATTCGCAAAGTACAAGCGCGCCAGCCCACACTTCACCGCCCAGACCGTCTACTTTGTTAGTGTCTTGGATCACGCGCACACAGAGGTCACTGCGTGGCTCCTGTAGACGAAAAAATGCTTCGTGCTTCTGCTGCAGGTGGCTGCTCATGACTGCTTGCTATTGTCCCTGGATGACGGTCACAAAGACGAGGTAAACTACCACGCTGAACATTGAAACTATACCAAGCGCAAAGTCTTCAGTAAACCTATTGAAGCTTGCGAATGACATATCTGTACAATGCACCAACTCACCTTGGTGAGCTGCCGCGGGACAATGTTCGTGCTGTAGTGCTACTTTAGGATGAACAGCCCACTGTGTTAGCTAATGCCTACAAAAAGGTCATTAGCGATAATTTGATTTGTCTAGGAGCTGACTGAGGCGCGTGGTTAAGGGGCGATTAAATGCTACCACAATGACAAATTTTTACTTCGGCATACTCAGCCTGCGCTTTTTCTATCTCCAGTGCTTGCTTTGGCATTTGTTTTGCACTAAGAAATCGCTAGCTTGCTGAACTGGACTACACGTCTTCGAGGTTTCAGGAGTTATAAAGTTCCCGAATGGACTCTGGATTAAAAGTTGTTACGATTTTCTTTGATTTCACCATCAACTGTACTACACAGCAACGATCGTTAAAATCTTGAACAACTTCATCAGTATTAATTCTTCACCACCTACTTGATCCGGTAGTCCGCGATAGGTCAGCGCTGTTAAAGGGTGAGCCTGTTACATGCAATTGACACTCGATACTTGTGAATTAACACGATAGTGTGGGGGTTGAAAACGTTCACGTATATCACCATAAGGGGTAATTGTAACGGGGTGAATCGTTTACATAACAATTTATAAGAAATTGTTAATAGAATATAACTATACGAGTTATGTTCTCAGAATATTGTCATAAGGACAAATATTCTGCAGCACTTACGAGTAGTTCCTAATTGGTTGATGTAGGCCATTATATCAACCAACGAAGACGCGCCACGACAGACGCACGCAATGAGTGGTCAGCAGATAGTTGATATGCACATTTGTATTCAGACATAGTTAGATGAGGATAAATAGTGATTTATTAACAGACATTAACTATGATAAATACAGTTCTACTTTTTACTTTAACCAAGTACTCGCTTCTTCTTACCGTCTTCCTCTGCACGTACGAGTGCACGTGAAGTTCCGAGGCACCGCCTTATTCTGGCATCAGAATAAGTAGCTTGTACTGTCACCAGTACAAGCTTCAGGGTGCCCCGTTACACCTGGTAGCACTTTGTAGTCCGTCCAAGGACCACGTTTACATCTAACATGAATATGTTGGATGATGAAGATGACCAAAGCTTTCACGCTACGCGTGACGGCTGCTCCCATTTGAGCGATGTCGAATGGGATGCTGTTGAACGAATAAGTTCAACCATGGGCATCCATGCTGTTAGCGTCATGCTAGAGGCTCTCAATAGAAATGCCCAACATGCTACTATCGCCAAGTTCATTCAAAATGAACTTGACGCTGAACGCGAGAAAGTAGCCTTGCTTCACCAACAAGGTTCTCAACAAGCAGAGTTGTTGAGAGAACAGGGTGCTCAACAGTTTGAACTGTTGAGACAGCAGCAGGCTGCTGCTGGTGGGTCGATGCACTCGCGTCGACCCAAAACCTTGAAGATTGACATCTCCAAGTATAGGGGAGTCGAAGAGGACTCCCTCTTGAGATGGTTCGTCGAATTGGATGACGCCATAAGGGCGCGTCGCATCGACGACGGGGATATGCAAGTTGCATTTGCCCAGTCAAATCTGGCAGGGCGTGCCAAGACTTGGGCACTGGGGCTCAAGTTGCACGACCCATATGCGTTTGGGTCGTTAGAAGTCTTCAAGTCGCGGCTCAGACAAACGTTTGAACCGCCTAGAGCTGAGTTCAGAGCTCGAACTGAACTCTTGAAGCTCAAACAAGGTAAGCGTGATGTGCACGCTTACGCGCAACGTATACGACATCTCACGAGTAGTATAAGTTCCAATCCGGTGGATGAACACACGTTGGTTTCGGTGTTCATGCAGGGTCTTGCGGATGGTCCCGTCAAGACTCACCTGTTCCGACTTGAACTAGATTTACTAGAACAAGCCATTTCCATTGCGGAACAGGAAGACTTCAGTCTGAGACAGGCTCGCGCCAGCTCGACATCATATCGTCAACCGAGACGATATGACAGCGGAAGTCCAGAGCCAATGGAACTCTGTTATGTAGAAAGCGAGAAGGCTCGCTCTACAGACTACAAGAAGTTGCAAAAATGCAACAGATGTCAAAAGACAGGACACTACGCTTACGAGTGTAGTGCCCCTCGTCCAGTGTCTCGCGACACTGGGCGTAGTGACCGTCCACCCATGAGAAAGGGGCAGGGACGCGGGTCCGCTGTTGGTGCAAAGACGCAACAACGGGATGGACCGTCAAAAAACGAACAGGATCAGTAGGTGCGGAGCACCCTACTGGTCCAGCAACGTCAAGAGAATTTGTAGGCCTCTTGATAAAGGTTGCTCCCAACACACAAACGTTGTGCGTTGCTGCTCTAGGTAATGAAATCTCACTTATTACCTTGAAACTCGAAGTGACAAATAAGTCGTCCCTTCGAGCTCTAGTCGATTGTGGGGCGTCCAACAATTTTGTGCGACGCCAATCGCTAGAAGATGGTCACTTTAAATTCAGTGAATGTGACACACCTCCTACGAGGATGACGGTACGTCTTGCGACAGGCGCATCCGTAACCGTCATGAAGCGTATAGTGAAGATCCACTATACGCTAGAAGATACCCAATATGACGATGACTTTATCGTATTGGATTCGAATGACAAATTTGATGTCATCCTTGGAATACCGTGGCTCAGAAGGTACGAACCACGAGTAAACTGGCAACATCGAACAGTAACGATGCCTGTCGCTTGTTCATCAGATGGCCATCTGATGAACGTTTTGGAGCGTCCACAAGCGTGTGGATGTACTACGAGTGAGTGCGATGGCCTCACTTGTGGCACGGTCGTTATTACGACTGCACGAAACCTTAGTGTAACAAACGGCTACACTTCGGAGCAAAGTTCCGGCGGCTGTGAGGAAACACAGGCTGCGCCGAAGGTCCACCACTCGAATAAGTCGAGTGGAGTGGGACAAAGATGTATCCCTAGCGGGGAACATCTAGAAGAGAAACAATCGATCGCTCAGGTTAAGCAAAACGATAATCCTAGATTGACTGGAGAGTCGTTCGTAGAGGATCTCGCTGTGGTTGCGCAACCCCAGCTAGAGGAAGTTAAGGGAATAAGTCCCGATATTACAAATACGGCGGAAATAAGTTCCCCGAAACCCGCGGGAATAAGTCCCTGGGAAGCCGAAGGAATAAGTCCTTCGAGGCCTGAGGGAATAAGTCCCCAGGAAATGACAGAGACATTAAATGTCCTATTCAGTGACGGATCAAGTGTAGGCGCTTATACACTTGATCTGATTGCGCCTCCGAAGTTGACTTCGGAGATCACTCAGTTGCCAACGCTCGAACATAAAAGGTTCTTGCGTGATCTGCGTAGTGGCAAAGTCAAGCAGATCTGCGTACTCGTCGCTGACGACGAGTGTGTATCCGACATAAGGTCAGCAACAGTGTTTACTGAGAACGAGAGACTTCTCAGTAGTTCATCGATGGACGAGAGTGTCCTCGATGAAATGACACGAGTTGAGCGATATGACTCCCACTCGTGGGAATCGCTCAAGACAAATCCTCTCTACGAAGATTTGGTTGAATTCAAGGATGTATTCCCTGAAACTGTTCCGTGCGAATTACCGAAGGATAAAGGTATTCGACACGAGGTCGAGCTTAAACCAGGCTCGAAGTACTGTGTCATGAAGCAGTGGCCACTGCCTCGTGAACAAGTACTTGCGATCGACAAGTTCTTTGCCGATCGTTTAGCTGCGGGCCATGTGAGGGGATCAAATTCCCCACATGGCTCTCCGACCTTCTGTGTGCGAAAAGCAACAGGAGGGTGGCGAATTGTGCATGCACTTAACAAGTTAAATGCTGCAACGGTACCGGCTCAGATGCCGATACCAAGGAAGGACGTAATCATTGATGGTATGTCAAAGAGTACCATCTTTTCGTCCATGGATTTGATGGATGGCTTCTATCAAATCTTAGGCGAGAACGGGATATACCCTATACTGCAGTGAGCACGCCTAGCGGCATGCTCTGGGAATGGCTAGTAATGCCACAAGGGCTTAGTAATGCCCCTGCCACGTTCAACAGATGTGTATCACATCTGTTGAGACCAGTACGAGAATTTGCGCCGAGTTATTTCGATGACGCATTCATCCATAGTCGAGCTATGGATGGAAAGTCGGACGTTGAGGTTCACAGGTACCACGTCCGACAGGTTCTTACAATCATGCGAAAGCATCAATTGCATGCAAACCTCAAGAAGTGTATATTTGCAGCAAGCGAAATACCACTTCTTGGGTGCGTCTTTGGTAAGAACGGTGTACGTCCGGATTACGAAAAGATCAAGGCGATCACCGACTAGCCTGTGCCAGTTGATGTCAAAGTTCTTCGAAAATTCCTTGGGCTAGCGGCGTATTTGCACAAGTATTCACGCAATTACGCCGAGATGACTGTACACCTCTCTCGTTTGTTGAAAAAGAACGAGAGGTGGCTATGGAACGCTGAATGTCAGCGCTCCTTTGACGCTATCAAGCAGAGCTTGATACAATCCCCAGTCCTAGCAATTGCCGATCAGGACAGATCATTTCATGTGGTCTGTGATGCCAGCGATTTCGCAATCGGCTGTGCATTAATGCAGTACGACCTAGAAGGCGTTGAACGCGTCGTCTGCTATCAGTCGCGTCAGCTGCAACCAGATGAGCGGAACTATCCAGTGCATGACAAGGAACTCCTTGCCATGAAGTATGCACTCGCAAAGTTTTGAGTCTATCTATTAGGAGATAGACCCTTCATTGTTTGCACTGACCATGCGTCATTACGCACGGCAGTGGACAGCCCGCACCTTTCACAACGAATGGCGCGGTGGTTGTCATTCTTTGCAGAATACAACTTTACGGTCGAGTACAAACCAGGACGAATTAATGTCGTCGCTG